TTTATTTATTTGAGAGAGAGACAGAGAGAGCATGAGCGGGAGGAGGGGCAGAGGGAGAAGCAAAGTCCCTGCTCCCAGGACCCTGGGGTCACGACCTGAGCCTAAGGCAGACGCTTAACTGACTGGGCCACCCAGGCACCCCGAGCATGCAACTCTTGATCTCAGGGTCCTGAGTTCGAGCCAACCTTCGCGTGGAGCCTACTTTAAAAAACAACGATGAAACATACAAATGAAGTCCCTACTCTCATGGCACTTCTATTCAGGGGTTGCCTCTGGGACGAAAGCGATAGAGGGTGGGAGTTGGGGAGATGAAGGAAAGTATTAGCCTTGTCTGTACTATTTGAGTTTTTCAAAATAGGAATTAACCCTCTATTTGAATAACTAAACTGTATTTGTAAGATTTTCACTGCAAAGGTCCTTTTGCCTTTGGACGTATTTATTCTTCAGGCCTACTGTCCAACTGCTAAGTGCTTATTTCTGATAAATTTTGCTTACTTATTTTTTGTAAATTTAAACTCAATTTCGTTTACATACAGTGTATTATTAGCTTCATGGGTAGAATTTAGTGATTCATTAGTTGCATATAACACCCAGTGCTCATTACATCAAGTGCCCTCCTTAATGCCCATCACCTTGACAAATTTTGTTTAAATTACTACAACAGTATTGTGCATTCAGAAAAGTAAACTACAAGGACGCCTGGGTGGCTCAGTCAGCTAAGCGTTTGCCTTCGGCTCAGGTCATGATCCCAGGGTCCTGGGGTCAAGTCCCACATGGGGCTTCTTGCTCGGAGGGGAGCCTGCTTCTCCCTCTGCCTGCCACTCCCCGAGTCTCTCTCTGACAAATAAAAAAATAAATAAAATCTTTAAAAAAAAATGTAAACTACAGATCTAGGGGCACCTGACTGATTCGGTCGGTAGAACCTGCAAATCTTGATCTTGAGGTTTTAAATTTGAGCCCCACATTGGGTGTAGAGATTAAATAAAATCTTTAAGAAGAAAAAGAAAAAAACAGAAAAGTAAACTACAGATCTATACCACCTGGGGAGACCTTGCTAGACACCTGCCACTCTGCTAAATCTTTTACACACACCATCTACCAGCTACACCAGAAGGTAAGAACAGCCATTGTATAGACCATTTCCCAACGAGGAGCAATTTGGCCCACAGGGACATATGGCAAAGCTTGGAGACATATTTGGTTGTCACATTGTGGGGAGGGGGACAGTTGCTATGGCATCTAATGGATAGAGGTCAGGGATGCTGCTAAACATCCTATCCCATGCAGGATAGCCCTTACAATGAAGAATTATCCGTCCCAACAGGTCAATAGCGCTGAGGTTAAGAAACCCCACTGGAGATGAAGAAACTGAGGTTCAAGAGAATAACGTGCTCAGGGTCACACAGCTGGTATGGCGGGCAGAATAATGGCCACCGAGACTTGTGAATACGTTACCCTACGTGGCAGAGGCTAATGAAAGCCGTTGTTATTAAGGTTGTCAAGGTTGTTAATGGAATCAAGGCTGTTAATCAGCTGATCTTAATCTAAAGAGATTAGCCTAGATTATCCAGGTGGGCCCCATGTAATCCCAAGAGTCCTTGTCCATGAAAGGTGGAGGAGAGAACATCAGTATCAGAGAGACTTGAATTAAGAGACTCAGTTGGCTTTGAAGGTGGAAGGTCTGTATGACTCCAGAGCCTAGCTCTTAACACGACCCCATATATATGGACATTAAAAATCATGACCCTGTGTTTTCATACGACAAATATGTTCTGGAAAATATTTGCCATACACTTTTGTTTGGGGGAAATATTTGCCGTGAATAGTTGTTTGTTGTTGCCATTTAGCATTTGTTGTTGTTACTTTTTTATGCATTTTCATATTGTCTGGTCTGGGTGCTTTTTCCTCTTCCTTTTGGGATTGCATCCATTATCTAGATGCTTAGAAAGACACTTCCAGTTCAGAGATGGGGGAAGTGTTTACACGCATTTCATTCTAAGTTGTCTGTGTGTGTCATTTCGTTTCTTAAATTTAACTTTTTGATTTATAACTTCATTATGATCAAGAGCTGCTGACCATGAGGGCAAAGTTCCCTGCAACTTTTTAAAGCTGTAAACAGAGCCAAATAACTACCCAGGAGACATTAAAGTTTGGCTAAAAGCGATCCCAAATGCGACACAACTAAATTATAAGCATTCTTGCTGTGTCCAGCAGGGCTCCTCACACAAGCAGACCCAGGTTCAAATTTCCTTGTCTTCCACTTCTTATCAGAGTAGATGTTGGTGGCTTTCCTGGACCTCCTCATCCCAGCACACCACCTTCAACCTCACTAGGAAGCAAGGGTCCAATCCTGGGGCTCCCTGTGCTCCCTTTCCCTATCCACGATCTGCCACCGCCAGAAGGAAGGATGGAAGCTCCTCGAAGCCACCGTAACTGCTGACTGGTGTCTGCCCTGGTGGAGAAGACCAATCATCAAAGAGGTGATGCATGTATTCACCACCAGATTGGCAGAATCAAATATTCTGTTATTGTTAAATGTTGACAAGAATGTGGTAGAATGGGAACTCTTGGGGGCGCCTGCCTGATTCAGTCAGTAGAGCATGCCACTCGATCTCGGGGTTGTAGGTTCGAGCCCCACGCTGGGTATAGAGATTACTTCAAAATAAAATCTTTTTTGTTTTTTAAGATTTTTAAAATTTGAGAGAGAGAGACACACAGGGAGAGAGGAACACAAGCAGGGAGAGTGGGAGAGGGAGAAGCAGGCTTCCCTCGGAGCAGGGAGCCCACTGCGGGGCTCGATCCCAGGACCCTGGGATCATGACCGGAGCCGAAGGCAGACGCTTAACGACTGACCCACCCAGGCGCCCCCAAAATAAAATCTTTTAGAAAAGAATGTGGCGGAACTGGAACTCTTGTACACTGCTAGAGGGGGTGAAATTGATACAATCTATTTGGAAAATAATTTGGCAATATCTAGTAAAGCTGAAGCCATACAAAACCTATAATTGAGTGATGTACATTTCCCACATTATAATCTTATTTATTCTCTTGTTTATTGGCCATTCAATTTTCCTCTGCTATCAGTAACTTTTCACCAGTTTTTCTTTTGGGTTGTATGAATCACAACAAATTTTTAGGTGTTCTTTTACGTGTTCTGGGTGCGAAGGCCCTTCCTTATCAATCACATGTATTGCAAATAGCTCCTCTCAGTTTGTGACTTGTCTTTATACTTACTATATGGTGTCTTCTGAGGAACAGGAGTGCTTAATTTTAATTAACATTTATTAATGGTACAGTTAGTGAGGTTTGTGTGCGTCTTGTTTAAGAAATCCTTTCCTTGGGTGCCTGGGTGGCTCAGTCATTAAGCATCTGCCTTCGGCTCAGGACATGGTCTCAGGGTCCTGGGGTCCAGCCCTAAATCCAAGTCTGGCTCCCTGCCCAGTGGGAGTCTGCTTCTCCCTCTCCCTCTGCCCCTCCTCCCTGCTCATGCTCTTGCTTGCTGGTACTTTGTTTCAGATTTTTGTATGTTCACAAATGAGCATGGCTTGTCATCTTCCCTTCTTAGACTTGTTTTATATCAGGTTGCACTAGCCTTGTAAAATGAATGAGAAAATGATTCTTTTTTTCTAAACTCTAGAATGGCTTGTGTAGAATTGAAATTATTCCTTGAAAAACAGAACTTATCTTTAAAGTCAACAGGAGAAAAAAGAGTAAGGTCAACTGGATCTGGTGCTTTGTGAGATTTTTAAACTCTGATTCAATTTATATAAATGTTGCAGAACATCAAGGTTTTTAAATTCTTCTTGGGGCACTTGGGTGGCTCAGTCAGTTAAGCATCCGACTCTTGATTGTAGCTCAGGTCATGGTCCCAGGGTCCTGGGATCCAGCCCCAAGTCGGGCTCGGTACTCAGCGGGGAGTCTGGCTTGAGATTCTCTCTCCCTCTGCCCTTCCCCCCCTCAAATAAATACATACACACATACATACGGTCTTGAGAGAGTTCTTGTTTTCCAGCAATTTTTCCATTTCATATACATTTTCAGATTTATGAAGCATCAAGTCACAGAACTGCTCAATTGCATCGTGTCTTTTATTCTTGATAAACCCTGCGAAATTAATTGTATTCGTCTTTTATAAGAATCCACTGTTTAGCTCTGTCAGCCATCTATCGTATCTCCGTTCCCATTTCATCAATTCCTTCACTTATCTGTATTATGTTCTCTTCTAGTTATTGTCTGCTGTTGATTTCTAACGAAATGGAATTGTGGCCAGAAAATCCAATGTGACACCAATCCTATCAAATTTGTTAATACTTGGTTGATGGCACAGAATCCGGTCAACTTTTATAAATGCGCTATGAGTGCTGGAAAAGAATGTAAATTCTGCACTTTTTTTTAAGACTTTATTATTTGAAGGAGAGAGAGAGCATGAGTGGGCAGGAGAGGGAGAAGCAGGCTATGCACTAAGCAGGGAGCCCGATGTGGAACTCGATCCCAGGACCTGGGATCATGACCTGAGCCGAAGGCAGACGCTTAACCGGCTAAACCGCCCAGGCACCCCAAATTCTGCAATTATTGAAAAGCAGTGTTTACATACGATTTTATATAATGACATGTATATATATATGTAGGTACATGTAAATATATAAAGTCAAGCTTGTTAACTGTCACTCAAATCTCCTATATCCCTACTGATATTTCGTCAGGTTTTCATTCATATGCTTTGAAGCTAAATTATTAGGTATTTAGAATTGTTATATCTTCCTGGTAAATCGAGCCTTTTACATGACGTAGCCACCCTTCTATCCCTAGTAAAGCTTTTGCCATAAAGCCTATTTGCCTCCTATCAGCACAGCTATGTCAGCTTCCTTTTCAGCATCTACTGGCACGTCTTCTTTCATCATTTTATCTTTAACCTTTCTGCATCCTTACATTTTATATGTGTTTCTGACAGGATATACAGCTGTTTTTTAAGTAGGTGTGGAGCCTAATGTGGGGCTTGAACTCACAACCCTGAGATCAAGACCTGAGCTGAGATCAGGAGTCAGACGCTTCACCGAACCAGCCACTCAGGCGCCCCCATATAGCTGGGTTTTAAATCCAGTCTGAAATTTTGTATTTTAACAGAACCATTTCGTCCATTTACATTTATTATAAGGAATTTATATTTGGATTTATTTCAACCATCTTATTGTATACTTCCAATTTGTTCTACCATTTCCATGACGATTTTCTTTCTGTCACGTTTTTTTTTTTCTAATTTTATTTATTTGACAGAGAGAGACACAGAAGAGAGGGAACACAAGCAGGGGGAGTGGGAGAGGGAGAAGCGCGTTTCCCCGCAGAGCAGGGAGCCCGATGCGGGGCTCGATCCCAGGACCCTGAGATCATGACCTGAGCCGAAGGCAGACGCTTAATGGCTGAGCCACCCAGGCGCCCCTGTCACGCTTTCTTCTGTAATGATTATTTTTCCCCGTTCCATTTCTTTATATCCACTATTATATCCTCTTTTTACCCTATACATTTTATATATATAAAATATACTTATATAAAAATAAAAATATAATATATAATAAATATAATATTAAATATACATATATTATATATTATATATAAGAATATAAATATATTTATTTATATATACCTAACCTAGCAAAATCTAACCTTAATGAACACTGATGTTCAGAATTTTCTTCAAAATGATCCACAGTGTGGGAGGTGGAGTGAAAAATTGGTGTGGAGATATGATTCATCATATATTAAGGGTAAATCGGGTTAGAGTTCTTTATACCATGACCTTTACTTTTGTAATGCTTGAAAATTTCCGTAAGTTAAAGAATATTACAGTTATCAGTATCTTCACCCTCCTCCTGAGCAAGACAAGGATTGTAGAGCATTTACTCTAGCTGGGTTTTTTTGTGTTTTGCTTTTTGTGGTACTTGGCTGTTTGTTTTGCTTGATTTAACCACAAATTAAGTGACATCGTCATCATCACTAGTTTGCTTAGAGCATGTGACACGGATACTACTTCCTTTGCTCGCCATTCCTTCCTGCAACTCAGATCTTTCCATCTGCCTGATGGGCGCACACCCACACTCACACATACTGCATAGGGCCCCCTCGCCCCACAGATGCCCCTGCACTGTGTCAGGTCCTGACTGGCAAAGGAAACCTAAATTTACCAGCCCAGTTGACCTCTGGATATGCTAAGGTCTTTTTTTTTTTTTAAGATTTTATTTATTTATTTGACAGAGAAAGACACAGCGAGAGAGGGAACACAAGCAGGGGGAATGGGAGAGGGAGAAGCAGGCTTCCTGCGGAGCAGGGACCCCGATGCAGGGCTCAATCCCAGGACCCTGGGATCATGACCCGAGCCGAAGGCAGCCACTTAACCGACTGAGCCACCCAGGTGCCCCTGGATATGCTAAGGTCTTGGGACTCCTTTGCTAAGGGGTTCCCCAGTCCTCTGGGAGGAGGCAGAATAATGGCCCCAAAAGATGTCCCCATCCTAATTCCCAGTCCCTGAGAATAGGTTACCTTAGATGGCCAGGGGGAATTAAGGTTCCGGGTAGAATTAAGGTTGCTAATTAGATGGCATTAACATGGGGAGATTAGCCTGGATTATCGGTGTAGGTCCACTGTAATCACACAGCGCAAGAGGGAGGCAGAAGAAAAAATAGAGGCGGCCAGTCAGGAGGGACTCAACCTGCTGTTGCTGGCTTTGAAAAAGGAACGGGGCCATGAGCCCAAGGAACGCAGGCAGCCTCTAGAAATGGCAAGGAAACAGATTGTCCCCGAGAGCCCGAGCCCTGCAGACACCTCGACTGTAGCCCAGTGAGACCCGTCAGACTTCTGACCTCCAGAACGGTAGGAAAGGAAGCATTTACTGTTTCAAGCCGCTAGGTTGGTGGTGACAGAGCGGCAATAGGAAGCTAATATGCCTCCCACCGAGCATCACCACCCATTCACTACATGGGGTCACAAGGACGTCTCATCGACCTGTCAGTCCCAGTCCCTCGATGTGAACACATAAACTTTAGAGCTAGAGAGGGCCAAGAAACCACTCAGGCCAGCCAATTATTTTAAATGAGCGAAAACTGAAGTCCAGAGAAAGGAAATGACTTGCTTGAGGCTCCTCAATTTACACCATCCTAGGCCATCACCCTTCTTTCTGCTTCCGGAGCCAGAGACACCCCAGGAACAGAGACCACTGCCAACTCATCATCGTGGCCAGGCACCAGCAGGGCACAGGAAACCCCTAAGGGACTGGGGAAAATAGAAGTGTAAGCCAGGTAGGACCGAGAGAAGATGTCCAAAATGACAGAGACGGTGATTCGCCCAGAGCTACGAGAGCAGACCTGGGCCAGACTCCCACCTGGGCAGCTCAGTTAGGGAGACGCTTTCACCTGAAGCTTTAAAAAGGCCCCTTGGCCCCCTAGCGAATGGCATACTTAAGGCCTACTTTCGAGAAGCTTAGCGTTTCATGCCTCTGCCTAGAGCCAAAGCTTTGGGCTTTGGGCAAATTAGGAAAAGGTACTTCATCCACAAGACATCTTTATCCATCTGTCAGAAAAAAACTGTCATAATTCCTTTAGAAAAAGATTCCTTTAGAAAAAGATACTTTACTTCACATCTGACAGAAAACTATTTGAGATTCACTCACACATATAACCACATCTACGAAGTAAAAGGCACCCCCTTGGATGGAAAGCCCTTGTGCAGTGCACAACCTGCAGAAGCATACACAGCAGCCCTGCTTGGCAGTCTGGTCTCATCCCCTTCACTGACCTTTCCTTCCCACCCCCCGCCGCCCCCACTCCAGCCCTCAGGCCCACTAGAGAACAACCCTGGCCTTATAATGCACCATTTCATGCATCACTGGAGAACAATCTTGACCTTATAGTTTATCATTTTATGTATGACTCTTCCACTAGAGGCCCCAGCTTTGACTCCTCCCCTTCTGCAGCCAGCAGGTGTTGAAGGTGATCAAGAAAAGGCCGATGATCCCATTCAGGGAAACACCTGAGATGCGAGGCAGGATTTGTGAATTCTAACTGAACGAATGTCCACGGGCCAGGAGACTGTCCAGGCCCATAGCACAGGCCACGGAGAAATCCCACCCACTAACTAGCTGGGAGAAGCTGAGTAGTACACTCTTTTAGCTTCCCCAAGCCTCATTTTCCTTTCTGTGAAATGGGTATCACATCAGGACTGCTGGGAAGGTCTAAGAAAAGACAGTTCACGCTTAGTGCCTTGAAAGGGCTCCCTACCTGTGAGCTATTATTACTATTATTCCAGGCATCGTTGACCCCAGGATATCTGCCCTCCAGGCTGTCAGCCTTCCTGGCAGTATGCTGCTTTAAACAAAACTGGGACAATCCGTATGTACTGCATGGAGCACTGGGGTGTTACACGAAAACAATGAAGCGTGGACCACTACATCAAAAACTAATAATGTATTGTATGGTGACTAACATAACATAATAAAATAAAATAAAAAAACTGGGACAATCCGGGTTTCTAAAAGGAGACCACGTGGCTGGGGCAAGTGTTTAAGAGAAAGTATTATTCACTGGACCAAAGAGCTCACTACTGGATAAATAGAAAAATCTAACCTCTTTCAACCGGAATTGGTTTTGTTGGGGGACAATCTCTGACACACGGTGGAATGAGCCCAGTTTTGCCTCCCGGCGGCTCCTTGCACCGTCTCCTCCCAGCTGGCCTCTTCCACCCCTTCGGCCCCAGAAGTCCTATGGCCGGAGTATGACCAGGTACTTCCAAGTAGGGACAGGCGCAGCTTTGGGATGAGAGGGACACAGGTTCTAGCCTGAGCCCTGCTGGTTGTGAGCCATGCACCCCTCCTGGTTGTGAGCCATGCACCCCTCCATCTGCACCAGGAGGGCAATCACAGAACCTGCCTCATGGGGCAGCTGTGTAGTAGGTGGGGGGGGGTCCATGAGGCCATGCTGGAAATCACCTGGTCTGAAGGGGGTATCTTATTACTCTCAGCTGGGAGATTCTGGCGCAAGACAGGGCGGGTGACAGAGGAGACACTACGAAGCCCCTGCTCCCACTTTCCTTTGTTTCTTCCCACCCCTGTCCATACGCCCACAATTCTGACACGGCTGTCCCCTCCATCCGGCCAGAGTACTGAATCCTACCTTTCCGACAGAATTACCAAATGCATTTTTTTTTCCTATTACTACGAGTTTCAGTTAGAATGAATGAATTCAGCTGTAAGTAAAATTCCTGCCCAGCAGTGGCTGAATCAATAAAGTTGGTTAATTGTCTTATGTAACAAGTCACCAAGTCATCCACAAAAATGTCCCCGAGGCTTTTCTTTTTTTAATAACTTTTTCGGGGCCGCCTAGGTGGCTCAGTCGGTTAAGTGTCCGACCCTTGATCTCGGCTTAGGTCTTGATCTCACAGTCGTGAGTTCCAGCCCCACGTCGGGGCTACACGTGCAGCCTACTTAAAAAAATAAATAAACAAAATAATTTTTCTGGTCAGCCATCCCCAGTGTGCCAGCTTCTGGTCCTCGAGACTTATCACCTCAGGGCTGCCTCAGCTCCGTAACCTGCCAGTGGCTGGAAGAAAGGGAAGCTCCTGGTCTTTGTTTCTTTTCTTTTTCTTTTTTCTTTTTTTAAAGATTTTATTTATTTATTTGACAGAGAGAGACACAGCAAGAGAGCAGTGGGAGTGGGAGAGGGAGAAGCAGGCCTCCCGCCGAGCAGGGAGCCCAATGTGGGGTTCGATCCCAGGACCCCGGGATCATGACTTGAGCCGAAGGCAGACACTTAACAACTGAGCCACTCAGACGCCCTGTTTCTTTTCTTTTTAAACAAGGGAACAAATGCCCTCCCACAGTCCTCCTAACAGACCTCCCCTTACATTTCAGGGACCAGAACTGGATCACCAGCCCCCTCCTAAACCAATCATGCCCAGGGGAAATGAGATCTGGCTGGCTGGCTGGATTACACCTGTCACAGCTCAACCCCAGAGGCCAAGGGAGAGACTCGTCTGGAACTGGAGTAAGTCAGCAAGAAGGGTAAAGGGCCTGCCACTTGACATGAGGAGCCCCTTGAGGATCAGAGGAAGGAGCTGGAGCCCAGAATGGTTAAGTCCCCCATCCAAGGCCACATGTGACTTTGCAGAAAGGCCAGGATGAAAACACGGCCACTGGCTCAAGGAACACCCCCCGCTTCACCACAGTGCTTCTCAACTAACTCTAGCTCACTCTAAGCCCCCAAAGGGCAGACACCCCAACCCCGGGACTCCCTGAGCTGGGCCAAAGGCATGATATGGACAGATTCAACACTGTTACAGAAGAGAGCCCCCAGTGTACCCAAATGTGCCTGACGCACCTAGAAAGAGGTTGGCAGGCAAGTCAGCAGGAACCCAGAGCCTGACAAACAGCATCTCTATAGCTGCCTGGACAGCCGCCAAGCTGCCTCATTCCCCAGGGCTGACCTCATACTTCTGAAGATCCTCAAGATGCCTGAGGTCTGTGTGTTGCCTCCCAGGCTGGGGGCTGGGAGCCACGCAGAGAGGTGGGAATGCAGAATCCAAGCGGCCCACCCCACCACCCACCCCTCTCCTGCCAGAGCCTCCTGCCCATGCAGTGCAGGCCCCATTCCAGAAGAAACCGAGCAACACCCTCCATCCTCCCAGATGAGGCCTGTCCCAACTGGTCTTCCTGCCTCCACCAGTCGGAGGGGATGCCTTAAGAAATTCTCACACTCTGGCTATTCCTATCTGTTTTTGTTCCAGACTTCTGGAAGGGGAATGAAAAGCGGGCAGACCTCATCAAGGTGCTAAGAATATCTCTGAAGTCAGTTCCACCACCTCAAAGAGAGCTGGAGAGCTCAGGGCCCGGCTGAGGCCTGCACTTAGTGATAACAGGAATTGTTTACTAAACCCAGAACTGGATCAGGCCTTTCCGTGGTAACTAACAGCAAGGGCTCCCAGTCCACTGAGGCCACACGTGCTGGGGGTGGGGGGTTAAACCCCTTCATGCCCTCTGCCTCCACTTCCAGACATTCTTCCCGGATCAAACAACCTACTGTGCGCAAGGCCCACAGCAGGTAAGGTGAGCAGCCTGGGGAAAGGGCAGGTAGTCAGCCTCCCGGGACACAAGAGCTCCCTTCCGAAACCTCCTCACAACCCACCCGCTCAGCCTGCAGCTCCAGGGCAAGGCATTTGTTCTTACCCACGTTCACTGAAAAGTTTTAATTCCCCTTGTAAACAAAACAAAACAAACAAAAAAACCCCACAAGGGCTAAAAATCGTGTGATGTGGGAGAGGAAAGGTGTCACTTAACTTGCCACGCTCTCTTTGGCCTGACCCAGGGGAAGCTGGCCCAGCGGCTGGCAGTTTTAAACTTTCCTTTCCTTCCACGAGTTTTTCTCAGAACAGTGGCTCCCACTCCTCAGAGCTGAAAACTCTGCATACCTTGAAAGTATGCGAGCTGCAGGGCCGTGCGAACAGACTGGAATTTTCCATTTATAGAATAATAATCTTCATACCACTCTAGGGGCCGGTGTTCTTGTGGTCAGAGCTCAGTGTCAGCAAACCTGCTACGCTTCTGCGGGCTCTTTTATTTATTTTTGGTGGGAGGGGGGAGGGAAAAAAAAACAAGGAATGACTTTTTAACTTGAGTGCCAACACAAACTTGAAAAAGGAACCGGGTTGGCAAGTGCAGAATATGACTGCCTGGTTTCACGACTTAAATCAACCGTTAGGGAGTAGGAGGTGAAGAAGAGGCTGAGAAACAGATCTTCAACCCTTCGTGCAGATAGGTGGCTAGAAAAGGCATCATGTTACTGCCCCAAGTCCTTCCCTGTGCCCGCCACCTGGCTTCTGGACTGCTCCCCGAGGGTAGGGTCCAAGCAAAGGGCACAAGGCCCCATCTCATTTCTCTTCTTCGTGTCCCCTGTGTTCCACACTCGATTTCTGCTGATGCACACACAGACTTACATACTATGAAATACCTTCGGGGTCCATGTGTAACGGGTAGGCCACCAAGCCATTTGTGAAGAGGCCTGAGTTCTAGTTCTGGCTGTGACATATTCACTGTGTGACCTTGAAGAAATCCTTCTCTTCTCTGCGTCTCATTTTCTTCATCTGTAAAGTAAGGTTGGATTGAATGATCCCAAAGGTCCCTTCCACGGCTGACAGTTTGATTCCCTCATTCATTCTAAAGTAAACTGATGCCAGCATGAGGTTCTGGGCAGCCCCTACTGGGCCATTCTAAACCTGCCGGACACAGCCAGACCCAGAAGCATAGCCTCCTGCCTAATGAGGGCTGTCAGCACCAGCTGCCCCCGACCCGTTTCCGTAGCCAGAGCTCACAGCCAGAGAGGGGAAGGAAAGTCCCGACCTGCCCACCTTGCCTGCCAGCCCAGCCACCAGAGGAGGCATTTTCCCAGTGCCACAGAACCCTAAAGAATCCTTCGCAGTACCTAAAACCTTTCCTACTTTCCTTTTTTTTTTTTTTAATATCTCACGGGTATGTTGTCTTGTTTTATTTTATTTTTTTAAAGATTTTATTTATTTGACAGAGAGAGAGAGCGAGAGAGGGAACACAAGCAGGGGGAGTGGGAGAGGGAGAAGCAGGCCTCCCGTGGAGCGGGGAGCCCGATGTGGGACTCGATCCCAGGACCCTGGGATCATGACCTGAGCGGAAGGCAGACGCTTAACGACTGAGCCACCCAGGCGCCCCTTACTTTTAAAAGGTGTTGTCCCTTCTCCCAGGAAGGGCACGACCACCTCCCACCCTCCTAATCAAAAATCTTCCAATTTATTTTCCACTGTTTTTACAAAAATATTTGACTCATTCTAAAGTATTAAATAGTGACGCTGAATATGCTTTATTTTTTTTCAAGCTGCACATACAGCCCATTTTTTATACAGCCCCGCCCCGGGGAGGGGGTGAGAGTTTCACACACACACCAATCACTGTCCAAGGGTGGAAGATTTTCTGGCCCAGCCCCCATCCCTACCTAAGTCACCAGCTAATGGCCACCCAGTCTCTGAACACCTGTTGGGAGCTGTAGGAAAGTCCTGATGCTTCCGCTACTTACTACAAGAACCATAACCTCCCTGAGCCTCAGAGATTCGTGCGAAGATTTCACCCAGCTGAAAGCTCTCCAAAGCACTGTGCAAACGGAAGTTACTCGATTGTTGGGCAGCTCTGTCTTAACGACTGCATCCTCAGAGCCCGCCAAATCCTGCCTCCCCACAGCTTTTCCTGCTGATGCTGGTGAGCGGGGAGAGGGGGCTTCTCGGAAGGCTGACCTGGGGCATTCAAGGCTGGGAGGAGGGTGCGCGAACCTTGGGGCGTTCCCCCATCCCCACGCCTACCCGTGTGCTCCGTGAGTCTCGCCACCCGACCGAGGGAGACCCAGGCCTGGTCACCTGCTCCAAACTCAAAGCACAGCGCTCAGGCGAAGGCGGTCCCCAGCAGCAGCCCCTCCCCTCCCTTCCCCTCGTCTCCCCCCACTTCGCCCTCCCCTCCCAGCAGCGCAGGCAGGGCACGCCCCCTCCCCCAGATTTACCAATCGGCGTCCCGAGCGGCGCCCGTGGCGCAGGGGGCTCTGGTCAGCAGCCAATTAGCGCCCGGGCCCGAGGCGGCGCTTCGCCCGCCCCCTCGCAGAATGAAAGGCGCCCGCAGCTGGCGAGGCTGGCGCAGCGCGCGGGGCGCGGGAGCCGCGCGGGCCGGAGCGGAGCGCGCGCACTGCCTGCCCGCCCCCGGCGCGCCCGCCTCCGCTCCGCCTCCGTCCGAGGCGCGGGCAAGGAGGCCGGGGCGGGGTAGCACAGGGGGCAGGGCCGCGGCGGCGAGGCCGAGGTTGGGGGGGCGGGGGGGGTGGACGGGGAGGAGCGGGACCCGATAAAAGGCTGCGAGGCGGCCCCCACCCCGCGGCAGGCCGGCGGGCAGGCTCGGCGCTTCCCTTCCGTCCGGCCCGCGCCGGCGGCGGGGAGGCGGCGCGCGCGGCCCGCAGCCCGCCCATGGAGGCTTTCCCTTGGGCGCCCCGCTCGCCCAGCCGCGGCCGCGCCCCCCCGCCCATGGCGCTCGTGCCCAGCGCCCGCTACGTGAGCGCCCAGGGCCCGGCGCACCCTCAGCCCTTCAGCTCGTGGAACGACTACCTGGGGCTCGCCACGCTCATCACCAAGGCGGTGGACGGGGAGCCGCGCTTTGGCTGCGCCCGCGGCGGTGGCGGCGGCACCTCTCCGCCCTCCTCTTCCTGCTGTTCCCCCCACGCGGGGACCGGGCCCGGGGCGCTGGGGCCGGCGCTGGGGCCGGCCGACGACGACGACGACGACAGCGACGAGCCGGGGTCCCGGGGCCGCTACCTGGGCGGCGCGCTGGAGCTGCGCGCGCTGGAGCTGTGCGCGGGCCCCGCCGAGGCCGGGCTGCTGGAGGAGCGCTTCGCCGAGCTGAGCCCGTTCGCCAGTCGCGCCGCCGCCGTGCTGCTGAGCTGCGCGCCCGCCGCTGCAGCCCCTGCCGCCGCCGAGGTGGCGCCGCGCGAGGAGCGGGCCCCGGCGTGGGCGGCCGAGCCCCGGCTGCACGCCGCCTCCGGGGCCGCCGCCGCCCGACTGCTCAAGCCCGAGCTGCAGGTGTGCGTGTTCTGCCGGAACAACAAGGAGGCGGTGGCGCTCTACACCACCCACATCCTGAAGGGACCCGACGGGCGAGTGCTGTGCCCGGTGCTGCGCCGCTACACGTGTCCCCTGTGCGGCGCCAGCGGCGACAACGCGCACACGATCAAGTACTGCCCGCTCTCCAAAGTGCCGCCGCCGCCCGCCGCCCGCCCGCCGCCGCGCAGCGCCAGGGACTGCCAGCCCGGGAAGAAGCTGCGCTGAGGGCCTGGGCTCCGGTCTGCTGCCACCTGACGCCACCAGGGTCACCGCCTGCCCGCGCGCTCATTTTCGGTCTGCGCACCATCTTTTCCTCGCTGTCGGAGAGGCCTGGAGCTCGGCAGTTAGCTCAACTTGGGAAGTCGTTTTGGTTTTGTTTTGTTTTTTTCAAAGCAAGCCGGCCGTACGGAGTACTTTCCTGTCGAAGAGCGGTTGAGACTAGACGCTAAAATCTTGATTTATCTGTGGTTTGTAGTTTGTGCACATCCGGACGGTGAAGGCTGGGTGTGTATTCCACTACCTGAAATATGGCAACTTAATGGCGCTGTTTATTTACTGTATACGTCAATCTATTTTAGATGCGCATCAGTATGAATTGTCTCAATCTAATCTCGGATGTTTAATTTTATGGAGGCACTTTACTAGGTCTAGAATATTTTTTTAAAAGCCTCATAACTGAAAACTGGCGATTTTATGGAATGTCGGCAAAATGACTATTTTATTGTTTGGAAACAATATTTCTTAGTTGTCCTTAGTGAGTTACTCTAATTCCAGGTGAAGCAAGCCCCTGGCGGCATCACCGTTTTGAAAAGTGAAGGTTTAGTAAACTTTCCAGTATTAATCTGTGTGGGTAGTCCCTCCTTGTGGCTTGTTTCAGTCTTGGCTGGAGGTGTAAAAATGCACAATCTGTAGCAGGTAGAACACAACTCCTTATCCTTTTATGTACCAGATCTTATTACTAAACTAGCAACTAGCATTTCCACCCTGAAAAATTGTGCCAAGTTATAATCCTATTGTGTATACACTTGGAAATTGGTGCTGTTTAAAAACTTGTGTATTTATACAGTAACAGTATATGAATTCATTTATCTTGCCTCTTTGCTACTTGGCCTTTTGTCCATGCACCCACCTCCCCATTTCCAATTCTTTAAAAACATTTGTAACATTAAGATCAAAAGGGAGCAGTATTAATTCACCCTGCTCAACTTCAGAGTTCCCCAATAGTAGAAAGCTCATTCCAGCTGTTGTCTCCCAAACTGAATGGAAGATGCAATCCTTTGAGCTCCAGGAAGACTAATGTAATAGCCTGTGTTCAAGAAGGTTCCACCATGGGCTGTGTCTGGCTTCAGGCACAGGCAGTCCTCAAACCAGAATAAGCACTGAAGGAATTATGGAGTAGGGGTTGAAGACAAGGAACACAGCCTCCCCCGTGCTCCGTTTTTCCCTGAAGACCCTAGTCTGTTTCTGGAATCCCACCACTTACCCACAAAGGAGATTAGACCCTATCCTTAGGCCAACTTTAGCTCCCACCCTCATTTATAGCCATACCAGATGCCACACCATGGCTTGTAGCTACCATCAGGACAGATAGAGGAGGCAAAAACGGAGTGAATTAGGATAAATGTACAAAATACATCACTCTCTGAAAATGGCAGATTTAGTCATACCTACTTAGATCCAAGTAGGAGAGTTCAGCTCCTTTATTAGACATTAGACTGCTTTTATATCAAAGAGCTAACTTCCTCCACAGACAAATTGGCTTGAACACTCCTTTGAGGGTGTAAGAGAGGCTGAGGTAAATAATATTGGAAGGCTGTGAGCCTTTTTGGTCAAAGGAAGGGGGATCAGAACAAGGGGGAGAGGTGCAGGCAAACAGTACGTTGGCCAAGAGAAATCCATTCCTGCTAGTCCAGCCCCAGAACACAGAACTTTAGATGTGACTAGTCTTAAACTCAAGGACCTTAATAAAACCATGTGATTACTTATTCTCTTTTGTTGTGCTAGAAAATACACATTTAATTTTGGTCTCAGGTAGTTGTCAGGTCAAGAGAATTCCTGTTACCTCTCCTACTGCTGTTCTACCTTTTCAAGAGCACTACAGTCCTCCAGCACAGGACTAGGCAGGCAAATACTTTGTATTTTCAAAGAGCCAAACTGTTATAGACACTGTATTTCTAGGTATCAAGTACTTAGCTTTGACATGTTCAATATGAGAATTCCTCAGTGGTGAGATGTGCCTAATACAAATTTGATATTGACACCATCACAGTTTTACCGGCAAACATCATGTCCATTTAAAACACTGGTATCAACCCCCCTCAAATTTGCCTGTTTTCCAGCTAAAATTAAAACACTGGGAGTTAGAGCATGCACAGAGAATATTACTACCGTTAATCTTCTAGAGATCTCTTAGGAAAGAGTATACTAACCACACTAAGGCACTTAGGAGGACCAAGCATAGAACTCTCAATCTAAAACTTTTAAGTACTTGCAAAATTAAATTTAGGGTGTGGGGCACCTGGCTGGCTCAGTGGTAAGAGCATGGCACTCTTGATCTTGGGAGTTGTAAATCTGAGCCCCACTTCGGCAAGTAGAGTTTACTTAAAAATTCAGGGTAAAAGAAACCTAATTTTTTAAAGTTTAAAGAAATACATAATGTGACAAAGTTTTGTTTTTATAAGAATATGCCTGTGTTATTTGGCTAAAAACAAAACAATGCATGGAATCCTCAAAAGCGCTTTATCAGCTCTGCAGGCAGACTGCCTTACCTTGCTGGTCCTTTTCTGTAGACACATTTGCAGTGAGTGGCTTTTTATTTCTTTGGATTTTAATTTTCCTATGCAGTCCTTTTTGGAAGCTGCAGAATTAACTTTGATTACAACAACTTTTGGTCTAAATTGTAAGCCAAAATTATCTATTTTAAAATTATACTACAAATATATCTACCTCAAGGGAAAGGGCAGGAAAGTTTCAGTGTTGGTCCTCACCTTCTAGTCTGTGCTTAACCACATGAGGAACATTCCTGCATTCCTTCCGGTGTCCAGTATCTATGTCAATTAGACTTGTAAAATTAGAAATGAATCTACAAAAGGTCTTTGGTAAAAAACAAAACACAGATAAAGCACATAAAAGCATCCCAACACATAGATTCCCACCTCTTCTTGGAAGCCAGTAAGGACAACTAGGGGGATATAGAGTCTTTTCTGGGCCACTGTCTCCACCCTCAGATCCACATGTATTAGCAGCATGGTGTTCTTGTGTAAAAATGCAGAAGCCACTGGGAACATGAAGACATTCTACACACAGTAGATTGGATGTTCATCTTTCCTTTGACACCTGTGAATACTGGGGGATGTAGGGGAAGCCTGTGAGGCCTTGAGTAGAAACTTAAGAGCAGGACCACAAAGCAGCAGCAGATTCTTCTGCCCCCATCCTGTGCCTGGGATTCCAACTCAGGACAAAGAACTTGGGGGCATAGTATTTATCTGGGAAAGGGTTCTGGCAGGAAGGGTAGGTTTGCAGACTAGCCTAACCATCAGACATGCATCCATAACTCATCTAAATAAATCAGCTTAAATGAATGGTTCCCTGGGGCCAATCAGTGCTGTCACAGGTACAGTCCTGTTCTAATGATTGGGGAGACTCAGCAGGTTACTGCCCCAAGTTCATCAATTTGTTAAAAAGAGTAGGCCCTCTCCCCAAAGACCTTTTAAGATTTCCACTTGTTTGAAATACTAGATATTAAGGAAATTAAGTGTTGAAAAAAGTCATTTCCATCACCGGTAACATCAAACAGAAAAGGCTGCACCTGATTATTTTTA